GAGGACAATCACCTGATCCAACATTATGATACGAGGACAATCACCTGATCCAACATTATGATACGAGGACAATCACCTGATCCAACATTATTATACGAGGACAATCACCTGATCCAACATTATGATACGAAGACAATCAGCAGATCCAACATTATGATACGACAATCACCTGATCCAACATTATGATACGAAGACAATCACCTGATCAACATTATGATACGAGGACAATCCAATCTGATCCAACATTATGATACGAGGACAATCACCTGATCCAACATTATGATACGAGGACAATCACTGATCCAACATTATGATACGAGGACAATCACCTGATCCAACATTATGATACGAGGACAATCACCTGATCCAACATTATGATACGAGACAATCACCTGATCCAACATTATGATACGAGGACAATCACCTGATCCAACATTATGATACGAGGACAATCACCTGATCCAACATTATGATACGAGGACAATCACCTGATCCAACATTATGATACGAGGACAATCAGCAGATCCAACATTATGATACGAGGACAATCACCTGATCCAACATTATGATACGAACAATCACCTGATCCAACATTATGATACGAGGACAATCACCTGATCCAACATTATGATACGAAGACAATCAGCAGATCCAACATTATGATACGAGGACAATCACCTGATCCAACATTATGATACGAGGACAATCACCTGATCCAACATTATGATACGAGGACAATCACCTGATCCAACATTATGATATGAGGACAATCACCTGATCCAACATTATGATACAGACAATCACATCCAACATTGATATGAGGACAATCAGCAGATCCAACATTATGATATGAAGACAATCAGCAGATCCAACATTATGATATGAAGACAATCAGCAGATCCAACATTATGATATGAGGACAATCAGCAGATCCAACATTATGATATGAAGACAATCAGCAGATCCAACATTATGATATGAGGACAATCACTAGATGTAGAAATCCTGCTGCATGAAGCAAGCTCCTTTATTCGTGGTCAGAACTGACTCTAGTGCCCTCTAGCGGCGACAACCTTGCGTGTCATTGTATGTATGTTCTTGCAGACCATTGGTTCAATTCGCTTTGTGAAATAAGCCTCTTATATGTTAGCTTTCCATGTTATAACCATTACAGACAAAGCGCGGTTGTTGTTTGTCCACGACTTCCAGGAGAGGTATTATGTTCTGCGATTGTACTCTACAACTCTTTGTGGTTTTTCGATACTGACATATTTTACTATAAATGTGTTCTCGGCATGCTAAATCCAATTCATATAAAACTTACCGCTGTTTGTCTTGGCTTCCCAAAATACAACTTATTGAAGAACAATGACTACAAAACAAACATGGGAACTACATTCAAATTTCTTTCTCCTAAAATATCGCTTATCTGGAGAGCGGTTCTGTCGTTCTTGCAAGGTTTTCCTTGGAGAGAGATAACGCATGTGGGTTGTATGATGTGAGAATGGAGAAATGTTCATCAATTCCAGTGAAATGTGACATCTTTATAGAATGGTGACGTCCCTTCTGTGACACCTTTGCAAATTAGTTTTTTTTTATTTCCCACAAAATCCAAAGTACAATAAATGATCAAAGTTAGTGGGCACCTGACCATCATACATATAGGAGCTTGTTGTCCATGCCATTTCGAAAACTATGTCCAATAATATGGAGTTGGCCTCCTATAGGATCCTCCATTCTTCTAGGAAGGCTTTCCAATAAGATTTTGGAGGATGAGGTCATGTACAGATGTTGGATGAGAAGATGTGGCTCACGACTGGTGTTCCAATTCACCCCAAAGGTGTTCAGTAGGGGTGAGGTCAGGGCTCTGTACAGGATACTTGAGTTCCTCCATACCAAACTGGTCACACCATGTCTTTATGAGCTGGCTCCACTGTTCTAGGAAGGCTTTCCTCAAGATTTTAGAGGTTTCCTGGGAATTTGTTCCCATTATGCCAAAAAAACACTTGTGAGGCCAGGTACTGATGTTGGATGAGAAGACATGGCTCACAACTGGTGTTCCAATTCACACCAAAGGTGCTCAGTAGGGGTGAGGTCAGGGCTCTGTACAGGACACCAGGGGCTGACTGACCATTCAGGCCCTCTGGCACTGCCTGAGGGCCTGGAGTCAGTAGGGGGCCCCATGAGATGCCCCTGGTAGCTTTCATAGGCTTTTTTGGGTGTGGTTTGACTGTGGGCAAGGATCCCCTATTGCCCGGGGGCCCCATGAGTTGTTAGTCTGTCCCTGCAGGACACTTGAGTTCCTTCACACCAAACTGATCACACCACGTCTTTAAGGAGCTGGCTTCACTGTTCTTGGAAGAATTCCTTAAGATTTTAGAGTGTGTTTGGGAATTTGTTCCCATTCTGCCAAAAGAGCATTTGTGAGGTCAGGTACAGATGTTGAATGAGAAGACCCGGCTCACAGTGTTTGCAATTCACCCCAAAGGTGTTCATTAGGACTGAGGTCAGGGTACAGGACACTTGAGTTCCCCCACACCAAACTATTCAAACCCTGTCTTTATGGAGCTGGCTCGACTGTTCTGGGAAGGCTTTCCTCAAGATTTTAGAGGTTTCCTGGGAATTTGTTCCCATTTTGCCAAAAAAGCATTTGTGAGTCCAGGTACTGATGTTGGATGAGAAGACGTGGCTCACGACTGGTGTTCCAAATCACCCAAAAAGTGTTCAGTAAGGGTGAGGTCGGGGCTCTGTACAGAACACTTGAGTTCCTCCATACCAAACTGGTCACACCATGTCTTTATGGAGCTGGCTCACTGTTCTGGGAAGAATTCCTTAAGATTTTAGAGTGTGTTTGGGAATTTGTTCCCATTCTGCCAAAAGAGCATTTGTGAGGTCAGGTACAGATGTTGAATGAGAAGACCCGGCTCAGTGTTGCAATTCCCCCCAAAGGTGTTCAGTAGGGGTGAGGTCAGGGGTTTGTGCAGGACAGTCAAGTTCTTCCACACCAAACTGGCCAAACCATGTCATTATGGAGCTGCTCCACTCTTTGAATGCTTTCCTGTGGGAATATAATGGCGACATCCCATCTGTGACATCTTTTTAAATGAGTGCTTTCATTCCTACAAAATTAAAGTGCAATATATTGGTCCAAAGTTAGCGGTTAGCTGACCATCATACCTATATGAACGTGTTGGCCATCCGATTCGAAAACCATGTGCATTTATATGGAGCTGGCCTCCTATAGGATCCTCCATTCTTCTAGGAAGGCTTTCCAACAAGATTTTGGAGGGGGTCTGTGGGAATTTGTGCCCATTTGTGAGGTATCGATGCTGGATGAGAAGACCTGAATCACAATGGACGTTCAAATTCATCTCAAAAGTGTTCATAGGGTTGAGGTCAGGGCTCTGTACAGGGCACTTGGGTTCCTCCACACCAAACTGGTCAAACCATATATTTATGGAGCTCGCTCACAGTTCCAGCACATCCCAAAGCTGGCCAGTAGGGTTGGGTCAGGGCCAGGGGTGGACTGACAACTCATGGGGCCCCCGGGCAATAGGGGATCATGGGGCCCATGTCCTTGCCGTAACTCAAAAAAAGCCTATGAAAAAGGTACCAGGGTCATCTCATGGGGCCCCCTACTGACCCCGGGCCCTCGGGCAGTGCCCGAGTTTCTAAGTGGTCAGTCCGCCCCTGGTCAGGGCTCTGTGCAGGACATTTGGGTTCCTCCACACCAGACTGGTCAAACCATTTATGAGGTATCGATGTTGGATGAGAAGACCTGAATCACAATCGGCGTTTCCAATTCATCTCAAAGGTGTTCATAGGGTTGAGGTCAGGGCTCTGTACAGGGCACTTGGGTTCCTCCACACCAAACTGGTCAAACCATATATTTATGGAGCTCGCTCACAGTTCCAGCACATCCCAAAGCTGGCCAGTAGGGTTGGGTCAGGGCTCTGTGAGGACACTTGGGTTCCTCCACACCAAACTGGTCAAACCATGTCTTTTTGGACCTAATAGATGTGGGATTAAAGTGGCTGTAAAGGCTCTGTTTTTTTTTAGATAACAAACATGTCATACTTACCTACTTTGTGGAATGGTATTGCACAAAGCAGTCCTGAACCTCCTCTTCTGGGGTCCTCCACTGGCACCATCCTCTTCTCCATTTGCCCCTATAGGAAGCCTCTTGCTATGGGGTGCATCTGTGGGCTCCATACTGAGCCAGTCTGTGTGCATCTATAGACACATACAGAGTGTCTCAGCCCTGCCCCCGCTTCTGAATCACAGGATTTATTTCTGGGTGTCGCATATGCTACCAGTCGAAGGTTCTAGAACACCCCCATTTTTCCAGTTTTTATTGAAATTTATGCAGTTCAATGTCTCAATATACTCTGAAGATAAAGCACAGAACAAATAAACAACTGGATATAGTTGGGACAAAGTTGGGAGCATGAAATTGTCCAAAATGTCTTGGTATGCTGATGCTTTAAGAGTTCCCTTCACTGGAACTAGGGGGCCAAGCCCAACCCCTGAAAAACAACCCCACACCATAATCCCCCCTCCACCAAACTTTACACTTGGCACAATGCAGTCTGGCAAGTACCGTTCTCCCGGTTACCGCCAAACCCAGACACGTCCATCGGATTGCCAAACGAGAAGCGTGATTGGTCTCTCCAGAGAACACACCTCCTCTGCTCTAGAGTCCAGTGGCAGCGTGCTTTACACCACGGCATCCGACGCTTTGCATTGCACTTGGTGATGGAAGGCTTGGATGCAGCTGCTCGGCCATGGAAACCCATTCCATGAAGCTCTCTATGCACTGTTGTTGGGCTCATCTGAAGGCCACACCAAGTTTGGAGGTCTTTAGCTATTGACTCTGAAGACAGTTGGCGACTTCTACACCCTGTGTGCTTCAGCATGCGCTGACCCCGCCCAATCATGTGACGTAGCCTACCACTTGGTGGCTGAGTGGCTGTTATTCCCAGTTGCTTCCACTTTGTTATAATCCCACTAACAGGTGAGCGTGGAATATTTAGTAGCCAGGAAATGTCACGGATGGACTTATTGCCCAGGTGGCCACCTATCACGGGACCACGCTTGGAGTCACTGAGCTCCTGAGAGCGACCCATTCTTTCACCAATGTTTGTAGAAGCAGTCTGCATGCCTAGGGGCTTGATTGTATACACCTGTGTCCATGGAGGGGATTGGAACACCTGAATCACATGATATGGAGGGGATTGGAACACCTGAATCACATGATATGGAGGGGATTGGAACACCTGAATCACATGATATGGAGGGAATTGGAACACCTGAATCCCATGATATGGAGGGGATTGGAACACCTGAATCACATGACTGGGAGAAGATTGGAACACCTGAATCCCATGATATGGAGGGGATTGGAACACCTGAATCACATGACTGGGAGGGGATTGGAACACCTGAATCACATGATATGGAGGGGGTTGGAATACCTGAATCACATGATATGGAGGGGATTGGAACACCTGAATCACATGACTGGGAGAAGATTGGAACACCTGAATCCCATGATATGGAGGGGATTGGAACACCTGAATCACATGACTGGGAGGGGATTGGAACACCTGAATCATATGATATGGAGGGGATTGGAACACCT